GTGGTGGCTATGGGGGTGGGCTCTGGGGTCTGTGAGGCCCTGCAAATCCTCTCTCCCTCCCTCGGAAGTTGGGCACATGTAGCTGCTTTCTTAATCATATCTACCTCATGGGTTATTTGAAGGACTAGGTCAGTCAGTAAGCAAAACACGAAGAGCGCCTGGCCTAGAGCATACTCTCAGTGAGCATTTACTGGCGGTGCTGAGCCCTGCGCCGCAGCCCTGAGGAATCTGCACCAGTGCTCCCAGGGCCTCAGTGTCCTCTCTGAGACCAGACTCCCTCCACCACTGCTGTCTTCCCAGTGCCTCCCCCAACAGCCATTGGCAGAGCCACCCTCCTGCCCCCTTTGGACTTTTTGGACAACAGCACAGACAGACAGAAAGGAAAAAATCAGAGGGAGATAAACTGAAGGCTGAGCTGTTTCCACCACGGCAGGACAGTGACTCTGGAGACAGTGAGGTCCAGCTGTCCCCAGATCACCAGGGAACCTGGGTACCATGAGAAAGGATTTTATCTCCCACTCCCTCCACTGGAAGCGACTACAGGGCCTCAAAGGAGAGCCTTGTCACTTGGCTGCTCAGCCTGGGTCCAGCAGACAAGGTGCTTTTCTGCTCTGGGCGTAACCCCAGACCCTGGAAGTCAGATTCCTCCGAACCCCAACAGGGACCAAGCATCACTAGGAGGCTAAATCTGCTGCCCCAAACCCTAGCCTGGGGCATGCACCAAAGGAAGATGGCAACGATCTGGGCCCAGCTGCCACTCTGACGTACTGGGCCCCAGGTCTCACTGCTAGTGTGGACCTAGCACCTTTGATATCGGAGCTGAGGGCTGGCCACGGAAAGAGGCGACGGTAGGGGCAGGGGCACTAGATGGCTTTGGAACCTGAAGGTATCGAGGCTTCTTCTGAAGGAGTCTGTTCCAGGACGGAGGACGTGTTCTGCAATGCCCTGTCTGCCCATTGGCACTGCAGTAGAAGCAGTAGCCACCGTCTGTCAGGTCCTACTATGTGCTAGGCCCATGACGGTGCTCTCCATGTC